ATTAAGCATCTTCTCTTGAATTTTGAAAAATTATAGTGGTTTAAAAAATAAAGTAGCTTATTTTTGAGTATAATTTTCCAAAATATAAATAATTCACTAAAAATAAAATATAACATGTATAAAATTGATGTAATTCACCAAAATAGTCAATTATAATCTATTTTAAAATTAATATCAATTTGCTAAAACTCAACTTTGGACTTTTGACCAAATTTTTGGCAATTTGCTAAAAAAAAAAATATGACATATATTAGAGTTGTTCGGGGTCCTGTCCTAGTTTTAATATGTAATATGTATGTATTTCAGCTAAGTATTAATAAAAGTCTAGGGCAGACACTATATTCTAATATATAAAAAAAAAAAAATCTTATATTAAGAGTTTCTTGTATTGAGAGTTTGTATATTTAAATTATAGTGTCTTATTTCAATATAGTTATGCTGTATCTACTTATTTATTTATTTATTTATTTATTTTTAATTATAAGAGTGTAGTACCTACACTTAGACTTTATTAATACTTAAATAATTGATATATAATAGTGCTTATATATATATATATTATTTCAAGCACTAAGACTAGAACATTAGGTATACAAACCATTTATTCACAGCTAAACCCCACCAGAGACCAACTGTATTTCCACTACATAGCTGACCTGGATTTGTACATCCCTCTCTAACCGCCAATTAGTATTTACATATCTATCATATTACCCATATTACCTACTTTTTCAACTTTCAAATCAGCGTGTGTAGCTCCAGGTAGGCACTGGTTGCTTCCGATTTGGTGTGTTTGACAGAGAATTACTCCCTTAGTCTCTACTAGCATACTTCTAGAAGTTTATATCTCAAGCCATGCAGCTGCCTCTACTCAATTGGGTAAGTATCTGCATGCTGCTATAACTAGCTAGTTTCCTGCAACTTTGGAACCCAGGTCTTAATGTATCTATTTTGGTAATTGTGCTAATGACTGTACTTCCCAATATGGTGACAAGTTCTCAGATATATTTTGCAAAATGCTTCTAGTAATTAATATAGTTGGATGGTATTATAAGACTTAGAGATAACAAGTGTGTTATCATTTTTGGTAATTCTCAATAGTTGTAGCCCTGATTACCACTGTATACACTTATACTAGCTATATCTTATTGGTGTTCCCAAGTCCTCTTAATGCCCAAAGGCTCTTATATAAGTACGGCCAGAGCCCATTAGATCTATCAACACATACATGCCTCCATACTTCAACTTCTTATTGGCTAGTGAGTACTGTACTGCCAGAGGTGTTCCAAATTTGATAAGGCCAATTCTTTACCACAGGTCCTTTTGTGTTTACTACATTTCTCACCACTTTCCAATTCTGGTTACCACCCAGTTATCCTTTCAAATAAGATTCCCAATGCCGCCTTAGAGATTGTTGGTACTATCTTGCCAATCACAGATTTATATGCACAAACTTTGTATAGAACTTTCTGTAACAACCACTATTATACATAGTGCCAACTACTCCACAATGGACCTCTTTTCAGAAATTTCTAATTCAGACCTGTATTCACTTGGACTTCCCATAGCAGATATTTCCAAATATTCGTAGATAAACATATCTACTAGGACTTGAATCTAAAACCTGCTCGTAGAGGGTTAGGTGCCTAGACCACTAGGCCGTGAGATTTCAACTCTACCTGATATTTATTTATTTGAAGTCAAAACTATAACTTATATAACTATTCTATATTAGAGTTGTTGTAGTGTTGTCATCCATTCCTGGTATAGCGTAACAATGTCACATGTCTACTTATTATTATACAAATACTCATTAGATTACAATATATACAAAAGATTAGAGGTTCGAACCGGGTTACACAAACCTGAGTGACCCAGATCAAAACGGGTAAACCGGGTTTCAAATTTATAACCCGGATCAAATCGGTTAAGATTAATACTAACAAATAAATCTCCCAAAAATGCATTGTTTAATAATCTTTTTGCCACCATAAGTGCCTATATATGCAATTATTATCTGCTCTAATTCTATGCTTTGGCGTTAAACTCTAAAATTGATACACCCGATTCTATACCTTGGTGTTAAATTTAAATTTGATACTATTCGATCCTATGCTTGACACTAAATTCTATAATTGATATAACCCGATCTTATGCCTTGGTATTGGTTTAAATAGTGATAGTTTAAATTTACTTGTTAATATATGCAAGCATATATATAATAAATAATCGTACATGAATTTCTCTTAAAATAGGCATAAGATTATGATAATTCTGCATAAGAAAAATAAGCACATAGTAATTAGATTGTATATATCATTAGGCATTCTTGTAATTTGTTCTTAATAAATTATTTTTTTATTAAAACGAATATATATTAAATCATAAGTAATTCTCGAATAGTAAGTCTGCTGTTTTTGAGCAAATGCTCTCATCAATATTTTGGAGCTATTGCATTGGTAGTATGTCAATTCACACAATTATATTTCTCACTAAGCATGTACGTAACTAAGTATTTTGTGAATATCATATATAATTGAAAATAAAAAAAATCATATAAGTGCCGTCAAAGGAAAACCTTAAAAGCCCGATTGTAGGTTTTCTTTGACAGCACTCATATATTCAATTACATATTAAATGCACAAAATGTTCAGATTGGCGTCTTTAATGCATTAGCCCCATAAAATAAGAAGATAAACCAAAAAAATCTTCGCAAATAATGGATGCAATAATTATCAAAGTAATGCAAAAATTGCATCATTTTTTAATCAATTATAAAGCAATGTTAGTATTAAATTAATAATAAACTTATTGTCGCAAAAGAAATAAAAAAGCCACAAATTCATAGTGAAATAAAAAATTAAATAAACAAAAAAAAACCCTAAACAAAAATGATCACAAACTTGTAAATTGAGTCGCTTTTATAATGTTTGTAAAGTTGAGATTCTGAATATAAGTGGTGAAAAGGTTAAATGTGAACATAAATTTCTATATAATGGTAGTACTGGGAATATGAGTAGTCATCTTCAAGACAAGCATAATCTATATGAAAATAAAAAATAAAGTAAGTTTCTATTAACTATTAAAATTTAATATAATCGATAATACTTATCTAATTATTATATAGAATCAAAATCATGGTATTCAACAAACGTTGACAAAAGCTCTTGAACGAGCAAAAGTCAAAACATATAAGGAACCACAAAACCAAGAAATTCGGCAAGCAATTGCTGAATGGATTATTATTAATAATTTGGCATTTAGCATAGTTATGAGAATATAGTTAATCCAGCATTTCAACTTCTCTCTGAAAAAAGAATTAAAAAAGAAATTAATAATGCTTATCCTAAAGCAGTTGAAAATTTAAAACAATTATTAGATAACACATGTGAGTCGGCATCCTTAACAACTGATCTATGGACTACACGTAGTAAACATGGATACTTAGGTATAACAATTTATTAGTTATCGAGTGATTTTAAAGTATATGACTGTCTTCTTTGTATAGAACGTATACAATATCCATATTCAGCTGAAAGAATTGTTGCTTTCCTAAAAAAAAATGTTTTAGAATTTGGATTAAATGGAAAAATAACTTGTATTACAACAGATAATGGAAGTAATATGGTTAAAACAATTAATTTGTAGGAGGAAGTTGAACGTTTACCTTGCACAGCTCATACTTTACAATTGTCAGTTACTCATGCTTTCAAAAAAATGAATGTTCATATTAAAAAAAAAAAAAAATTAGTTAAATTTTTTACCAAATCTCTTAAGCAAAGTGAACGTCTTGATAAAGTGCAACAAGAATTACATTTACAGATTCAAAGTAATATTTGTCCAGATGATGCATTAAATTCTGGTGATAGTGATTTGTCGGTAAATGTTGCAAATTCTGAAAAACCTATTCTACACAATATAGCAAAGATAAAGACAAGGTGGAATTCAAAATACTATTCATGGAAACAGTTACTTAAACTGCGTAAAGTAGTTAAATGGTTACATGCAAAGCTATTTTTATCTGACAATTCAGATAATCAAGCTGATAGTCGAAAATTAAAAAAGCTGCTTCTTTCACCATATAAGTGGGACCTATTAAATCAAATTGTTATTTTGTTAAAACCATTTGATGATGCTACTACTTATTTTAGTAGGTCGTATTATGCTACCTTATCTATTATATATCCTTTAATTGAAGCACTTAAATTTACATTTGCTGAATTTGAAATATTAAGTGATACTCCAAACGATGAACAAGGTAATTAAAATAATATATATCTTATCTAGTATTGCTTTCCTGATATATTTAATCAATAATCTTTAATTAAATAAATATTAAATTAATAAATAGGGTTTTGGGCTCTATAGCTTAGTGGTTAAGCTGCCAAACCCCCATAGTATAAGCTAAGGTCCACGGTTCGATTCAGGCTGGAGGCAAAAGAAACTCTGTAACCTTATGATGTTAGGAGCTAA